TAATTCGACAAAGTTATGTTACTTAAATTAATATTGATTTTTTAAGTTTGCTAAATTCTATGTTTAAAAAAAAAAGAAAAAAATATTAAGTTATAGAAGCATTGTACGTTCTGTCTTTATCACCTCTCCCCTCCTCCGTTATACGCATCCGTATGTTTTTGGTTAACTCTCCCTCCCCAATACCTTCGTACTTACTTATGGAAGACCCCAAAAAAATTATTGAGTTTAAAATAGGGTTGTTCGCCGATAAACAATTCCGTAATAACGCTTTCCGAAAAGAAACTTGCGAAAAAATCATTTTCACACGAAAGAATACTTGCGAAACAATTCCATACGGAATGAGCATTTCGGAATGTGCATTACGGAAAATATATATATATATATATATATATATATATATATATATATATATATATATATATATATATATATATATATATATATATATATATATATATATATATATATATATATATATCGCGACGTTAGAATTATCTTATTCTATCTCCACATTTTTTAGTTTTGCGATAAAACGATTTAAAAAGCAAAAACTTTAGGAGACGGCGTATAAATTTTTTTTTATAACTTATGTTTTTTCCGCAACTTTTTTACTTATAACTTACATTTCAATTCAGTAGAAAGACATTATTTTGAGGAACACAACACTATCATTAACTTAATTTTTTCAGAAAGTGGAGATAAATAATTCTAACGTCGCGATATATATATATATATATATATATATATTTACTTTTAAATTTCCCTCCCTTTGCCCCCTTTCGCTACGCCAGTGTATATATATTTATACATTTCAAGTGCGGACTTTTGGTTGCTTGTTGCTTTAGGCTTCGCAGAAGTAGAGATTTTCTATTTATACTCTCATAATTAAAAATCCAGTAAAATATTTGGTTTCATTACAAAGGTAAACCTAACTTCACGTGTTGTTTGACCGTTGTCACTTTTTACTAAATCTTGCAAATAATTTATCACTACCTTTTAGGCTAGCAACAGCTATTAAACTTTTAGCGCTTGTGAAGTCATAGTGATCTTCTATGTTAAAGATATGTTTTGTTTCTAGGGGCGAAGAACCGGGGAAGGGTCGCATTGAACCTGTCCGCTTTTTTGCTAAAAAATCTTGCAACTAATTTTCCACTCCAAAATAGGTTGAGCTTTAAAACTTTCAGCAGTTGTATAGTCCCAATAACGCTAAGATGTGACATATTAAAACATTTTCCAGTGATACACAGGGGAGCAAATGCCTTTACCACCTTCCTACCCTATTTTTTTTTTTTTTTTTTTTTTTTTTTCATAATAAAAGAAAACATTTTAAAAAATATCTTTGAAAAAGGTGTCTTTAACTTTTTTTTGAATTTGCTTGTTGTTATTAAAATAGTAAAAGCAAAAGTTCATATAACCTAAAAAATAAAAAAAAGTGAAACTGACTAAATATAAAATCATTCTATTTGAAAACAAGTAAGAGCTATTCTTGGGCATTTTAATATAAAATTAAGTTTTAGCATTCATTACTTAAATTAGGTCATTTCTTTGATTTCAACAATTGCATTTTTTCCTGACTACGCAATTGCATTCATACGAAAACGTTGTTCAACTTATATTCATTACTTAACTTATTCATTAAATGAAATTTAAAAAAGTTTGTTTTATGAATGTTTTGGTTTATTTATTAAAGTTTACAATTGAAACTTAATATTATTGTATAATAATTAGTATTTTAGTTACTTAGTTAATTATATGTATTTGATTCAAAAAACGTAATGAAATATATTTATTATGCAGCGTTTCGTAAGTTTTTTTCCTTTAAAAACTGTTTCGCAAAAAATAGTTTCGTTTCGAAAGAAATATGATTTTTTATCATTATTTCAAAAAATAAAACCCTCAAGTGTTAATATGTTCCAATACTATAAGTAAAACTTCCTTATAAATTATCTAGAGTATTACAAGTTTTATATTTATCAATAATACTCTTAAGGCCAACATTCTTTATATATTGACTTCAGAACGTCGAGCTTATTTTGCAAGTGCGACTTCTAGTTTTGTATATAGCAAAATAGTTTTATTTCGTAATTCAACTTGCGAAAGACTACCTATCGTTAGAAGCATTTGCGAAATGAACAACAATGGTTTTTTTTGTTTCGTAAAATTCCTTACGAGAAAAAGATTTCGAAGTCTCAATATCCTACCGAAAGAATTTTATTTTTCCGGAATTGTACGAAATGTTTAACTTCGCTATACCTGCCCGATTGTAGCAATATTCAAACTAAAAATATATGCAATCTTTTTCAAATATATATTCAATCTTTTTTTAAATATATTCAATCTTTTTCAAATATATTTAATCTTTTTCAAATGTATTCAATCTTTTTCAAATACATTCAATATTTTTCAAATATATTCAATATTCCTGGGGAGAACGCGGCCAAACGGCGGTAATTTGAACCAGTGTTGATAAACGGCGTAAATCTTCTTGCCTCCACTTTTCTTCCGCAGCAGACGGCTGCTGCCTCCTGATCAATTTTTAGCGGCAAAATGTTCTTTCTTCCGCCTCCCGTGGCTTCCGCTTTTCTATTGGCGGCCGCAGCCGGAATCTTTTTTGGAGGCAAAATGTTTTGGAGGCCGACACCAATATAGTGGCGGAAGCCAATGGTGGCCTCCTCCAAAAGAAATTTTGGAGGCAAAGCCATTTAGAGGCCGCCTCCAATTGCTTCTGCCTCCTAACTGGCGGCGGCCGTCAAATTGGAGGCGGAAATATTTGCCTCCCGCCGGGGGATGTGATGAAAAATAATTGCTCGTTTGCTTTAAAGCAATTAAATATTAACTAAAAACAAATGTTAAATACTTGTTGTGATAAATAAACTTGTTGTAATAGATAAATAAATGTTAATAAATTAACTTTATTAATTTTTAATAATGTTAAAAGATGTTGTGTTTTTCAAATGTTTTTACAATATATAATGACTAGAATTAATAATTTAATGATATGGTCGAAAAATTAAAGTGAAAAGCGGAAGCCACTGGAGGCGGAAGAAAGAACATTTTGCCGCTAAAAATTGATCGGAAGGCAGCCGTCAACAGCTTCCGCCTCCTTAAAAAGTCGGCCTTTCGGCAAAAAGTTACTTTGCCGCCGGGCGGCATTATCAACTCTGATTTGAACAAAACATTTTGTGAATTTATATATGAATAATATATAATTATTTATAGAAAAACGTGTATGTAGCCGTCGTTTCCTTTTTAATATATACGACATGGATTGTTATAGCAAAGTTGCTTCTTTGTTAGAGGAGACTTCTATCCTTCTTCGCACAACTCAAAACAAAAATGTAAGCAGGCTTCAGTCAGAACTCACAATAACTCCACATTACAAAGAGCCAGAGGAATGCTCAATAAAAGTGGTTCATCGGGTTTATTTAGGCGCCTTAATCGAAACTATAGATTAAGGTCATCAGCACCATACAGCAGCCAAATAGATAATAGTAAAATAGGCAATCAAAACAAAGCAAAAAAAAAATGACAAAAACTTTACAATTTGCATTAATTTCATCTAAAGATTTAAAGATTAAGAAAAAGATTTGTTTAAACCAATTTCATTTACATTTGTTTAAACCAAGTTCATTTACACTGCAGTTAACTGTCCAAAGTGAAACACCTTAAATTTTTGATGCGACATTCCAAGAAAAACCCAAGCATCAAAACTCTTTTAGAACATTTTTTAGAATTTGATACTTTGGTCTTCCAGGGGTTGAACTATGTAACACATTAATATCGGTACAGCTGAATTTTGAAGAGTTTTCATGATAATAAAAGTGAAGCTTTTGTCGAAACTCCAAAAATATATCTAATATACTTTCTGCTCTTTTTTCGTCGTTTAAATCACCATTAAACTCTTCGATAAAACAGTTCATTAATGGAATTTTTTTTCCAGATTATTGAATAAATTTGAAAAAGTTTGAATATATTTAAAAAAGATTGCATATATTTGAAAAAAATTAAATATATTTCGAAAAAAGATTGAATATATTCAATCTTTTTCAAATTTACAAATATATATTTGTAAATTTGAAAAAGATTGAATATATATTTGAAAATTTTAAGTTTGAATATTGCTACAATCGGGCAGGTATACTTGGTCATACCTTTGAAACTTTACACTCATTATCTCGGAGGTTATAGACCTCGAAAACTAAGAGTGAAAAGTTTACATTAACTTTTTTTTTCTTTTTTTTTTTTTTTTTTTGATAAATTTGATTTAGTATGAACTTTGATTTAGTATGAACATAATAATTTAAAATATGCCTACTAAAAAATAGTCATTCGTTATTTTTTAAAAAATGATCTCAAACTTCGACACTAAAAGAACGTGTTACCGGACCTTCTCATTGATGTTTTTAAATTAGCATATTTATAGATTTGCAACACTTTAATTATTTATGTAGCATATTTAAAAATTTTCACAGATTATCCCTGTATCATTTTTTATTTTCTCATGTATCATTTTCTTCCTAGGCCGTACTTTCTAATTTTAATATTGATTTTTTCACACTAATGTAGAGTCGCAGCAGCGAAATTATAAAAGTAAACACAAAAAAAATAAGCTAATGTCCATGCTTTTAATTTAGTAAAATGTTTGTTATCAACCAGACATAGAGTTTAATCTACTAATCTAATTAAATAATTGAATTTTTCCTATTAATTCTACTTAAAACCGCCAAGTAAGATATTATATTATGAAATAGCATGTTTGCATCGAAATACAGTAAAGTAAGGTAGTAAATAATAAATTTGTGTATAAATTTTATTTTAAATTGCGCATTTATTAATCTATGCTTATATACTCAAAGCATGATAGAATGAGCTTATAATTGTACATTTTTTCAGTTTTTCCTTTATTTTTTTTATCATAAATTTAATTGTGCAAAGTGTTATTTTAAAACATACTTAAAATAAAAATGTTTGTTTTTTAAAAATAAAAATAGAGTATTATTTAAAAAAATAGGTTTAATTTTAATTTAAGCATTATCAATATAAAAATTATCAAACTACTAATACTTTAAGTCATGTCAATATCAATGAGTGATCTAAAATCTTTTGATGATGAACAACAACAAGCTGTGAACAAACATATGCCTTTAAAAAAGACATTTAGATCGTTAGTTAATATCAATCAAGACTCAAACTATTCAGCATACAAATTTTCAAATAAAAATCAAAGCTCTAATAAGACACATGGTTGTGATTGCTCAAAGCTATTAGATGATTGTCATCATGATGTTATTTTAGAAAATAAAGTTTCAAAAATTATAGATACAAATATAGAAAAACCAGATAGTTTAATTTCTGATAATCTAATCACTGATAAAACTATTTCAAAAAATATGCAAAATTCGTCAATTTTAAATTGTGTTTCTTCCTCTTTTGAAGGGTATGAAAATTCTGACAATAAAAGTAATGTCAACAATGAATTGTTGTTTCATAAAAAAGAAGAATCTACCAAAACACATTGGCTTAAAGGACAGTTGCACAATTATATATTTAAGTCTAAAGATTATTACAATAAACGCTTATCTCTTGATGGTACTGATCAATTACATAGAGATGATCAAAATCTTAATTCTTTTAAAGTATTACAAAATACTTCAGAAGTAAATTTTCCTTTAAGCTTAACTACTATGACAACAGATGAAAGTCACTTGCCTTTGCTTGAAACTTCCCAGCATACGTATCGAAATGAGAAAACTTCTAGAAGTCGTATTTTTAAAAATCAAAACAGTAATCAACTTCGTAACCAGATCCCTCCAGATCAACCACCTACACCAAAAAAAGATAAAATAGATAATTCTAAAGCACCTAAATCTCCTCGTTTAACATTTTCTGAATTATTAAGTTCACAGAACAAAATTCTGACACAAAATACTGAAAATTCAGGTGTTGTACCTGCAGGATCATCTTTAAATAAAGACTTATCTATGAGTAGTTTAGAAATTAATGCACTTACTGAACTCTGTGTTCACGAAGATTTAAAAGATAATCTGTATCCACAACAAACTATAAATGTAAGTTTTTATCAGCTATTTGGATTTTCATTAATAATGTTTGCATACATGATGTCTTTTTACCCAAAACTTTTAAACGGAATATTTACTGGAGCTCTTATATCTTATTTATACTGTTGCTTTTCAATTATCAAATTGTGTCCCTCAATTGAAAGTATTCAAGAATATCGTAAAGAATTGAAATTTTATTTTGAAGAAAGTGCAAAAGTTGTTGAAGGAATCAATAGAGTTCCCAAACCTGAGGTTTTACAAAAGCCAAAAGATTTAAAAGTAGAAACTTTTTTTAAAATATTTTTTTTATGATAAAATTAATTTACAAATGCAAATACATGCACATACACAAACACACATACACACCTTAGCTATTATTATATATTTTTTCAAAAGTTGCTTTTAGGGTTGGTTACAAGTTGCAGATACATACTGGGATTATTTATTAGAAAAATCTAATTTAAAAGATGCATATGTTGCGATACATGAAAACACTCTTTATATATTTATGTGTCAGTATAATATTTTAGGCAAATCAAATAAACCTTTAGTTCAACCAAAGAGAAATAACAAAGGGCAAAATGAAAATGTTATTGATCAAGATCCAGCATTTTTATTTGAACATGAATATCATTTTGATTTGTCTAAATGTTGTTTTGAGTTAAAGCCTGATGACTTACCAATGCGGCGTTTGTGGAATAAAAAATACCCAATGAAGTTTTCTGTTCCTATTGGTGAGTTTAAGAAGAGAAAAATTAAAATAACTTTAGAGGAACTCACATCAAATTTAAATGATGTATTAAATAACTGCAGTTGTGATGATAACAAAAATGAATTAATTTTGAATACTGAAGAGGAGTTATTTTACTTATTTGTAAATACAGGCAGAGAAAAGGAATTTTGGTTTTATCGAATTCAGCTTTCTGTTTTTCCTTTAAAACATCAAGTTACATTTGATGATATAAAAAATAAATGTACTTTAGATCAGCCAGCAAAATCTTATCCTCATTACATGGTAGAACTAATTACTGAAAGTGAGCACTTAATGCAAAAAAATATTAACGGAAAAAAAGTTGAACCACATTTAGCATGGCTCAATGTTTTCCTCGGCAGAGCATTCTGGGATTTTTGGCATGATAATTATTGGATTGATAAACTTCATCAAAAAATTCAGTCTCGTTTAAGCAAAATCAGTACTCCTCCTTTTATAATGGACATTAAACTAACTGAGTTAAATTGTGGACATAACATTCCTATTATTCACAAAGGATCTCTTCCTGTTCTCGATGAATACGGTGTTTGGTCTGATTTGCAAGTTTCCTATAAAGGCTCTTTTACTCTGACTTTAGAAACTCAGCTAAATGTGGACTACTACAGTGGTTTAATTTCTGGAATTGTAAAAGAAAATTGTGGAAATACCGCTACTAAAATGTCAGATATTTCAAACGAGTTTGAAGATGGAAATGAAAATGACAGCGTTTATCATGATGAAATTCCTGATGTATATTTAGATGCTTTTGATTCGCATGATTCAAGTTTAGAAGCAGATAGTACAGTTATGTCAGATCCAAGGTTTGTTTAAATATAACTGTTTTATTATAAAATATAAATTAGTTTCAATGAATAAAATTATTGAAATTGTTTTTTTTACTTATTATATATTCATGAGTAAATATGTTTTGTCAAATATATATAAAGTATATATATATATATATATATATATTTTATATATATATATTTTTTTCAGCCAATTGTTATCACAATAATTTAGACCTTCCTAAATTTATGAACGGTAATGTACTCGATGAGTCATCTACCCTTCATCTTCTAGGATTAACTTTTACTTCTGATCTTTCTTTGAAACCTTATATCAAATCCGTTGCAAAATTAACATCTGCTAAAGTTGCATCTCTTTATTGAGCTCAACACTTTCTTACTCTGGATTCTATTCTCTATCTCTATAAATCTAAAATCCGGCCTTGTATGAAATACTGTTGCCATATCTGGGGCCGATCTTCTAATGATGCCCTTTCTCTGTTAGACAAGGTGCAAAAACGCATTGTAAACATAGTTGGACCTGCTCTTGCAGCCAACCTTCAACCTTTGTCACATCGCTGTAATGTTGCTTCTCTTCCTCTTTTCTTCAAACACTATAATTTGCACTGCTCTAAAGAGCTAGCGTCACTTGTGTCATCTGCTAAAATTCACTCTAGTGTTACTCGTCATTCAATTAAGTCTCATCGTTTTTCTGTTATACGAAAGCGTATGGAGGGGGAGGAGGGTAGGTTCACTTTAAAAATACGTACATCGATTTTCTAATTTATCACAATTAACCAGCTAATCAATAGAAAAGTTAAAATTCTGACTAAAGATCCTAGTTTGCCAACATAAAAAGATTTGGTATAGGGAGTAGAGGGCATAGTTTCCCTCAATGCACACACATGCATAGTGGCCCGCAGGATTTTTTGATGTTCCAGATAGGACACTTTCACACATTGTGCAAACTTTAAACTTAAGTATGTTTATACCTGTAAGGTATAAACATTATACCAAATGAGCAGGCCTTGCAGAAGGCCGAGGCTTGGGAGCAAAAAAGCCCTAAAATGCCCCCCTCTCCCCCAGAAAAAATTAATAAATAAGAGGGGTGTAAAATTTTGTATGGTCATAATTTTTGTAATTTACAATATTTTTCTGCGAAATTTAAAATCTGTCAGTAAATTTAAACTTAGCATAGTTGAAATTTTACTACATTAGTGCTCTCATCCTTTGCACTGGGTTTTAGGCTTTGTTTTCAATATTACTGATCTCGCGTAGGACTTGTTTTTAACGGATTTACTAAACAAGGGTGCTTAAAAAAAAGGTCCATCTTAAGTATAGTTTATTTTTATTTGATTTGTCATTAAAAGAAAAAATGTACATTTTATTATACCTTGAAACTGTACTTATTAACTTTAATATCTTTTACATAATAAAAGCGTCTTTAGCATAGAAGACAGTTGTACAACTTTTTATCAGGTAATTTTAGAAATGCAGGCTATTAATGAAACTTTAATCCTCTCATGAAGATTTATTTAAAAAGCAATAATGGACACAGAAAACGGGCCTAAGAGACTTAGTTAATTTAATTAAGTCAGCTTTCTCTGTTTGATATTTTTTATAAAAACTTTTTTGTAAAAAAAACTCTTAATAAATTCATTTAATTAGGCTGTATTAATGTGATTCATTTAATTAGGCTGTTTAATGCAGAGTTTAGCAATTAAATTAATATTATACCTACTGTTTGTGCTGAAAATGTATGTGAAAAATGGTGTGTAAAAAAGAAGTATAGATGTGCATATAGACCATCAGGAAATGGAATTGTGGAGTGTAACTACTGCACAGTAAAACAAACAGCTGCAAGGGCACAAATATGTCCGTTACTAGCTGTATTTTAGTACAATTTAACACCAATGATGGGAACAAACAAGGAATTTGCACTTGCTTCTCAAAAAAATAAGTATGTCTGGCATCTACTAATTCAAAAGGAGAAAAACACTGAAACTCAGGAAAGACAACGAGTTATGGAAACTAAACTAGAATTGGAGAAAACGTTTATGTTCGCCCCGCTGATACAAAGTGCACTTCAGTTTGGAAAATTGGTACTGTAACTTACATGCTCACAAACACAAATATTGAAATTGATGGTTTACCGAGTGAAAGATGTGAGAATAGCTCCCGCCTCAAATTCTTCAAATGCTCTTTGTAAAATTGTTATGATTGAAGAGATTGACAGTGATGAAAGTGATTTAGAGGATTTAGACATTTTTGCTACACGAGAGGAATGAACCGAAGTAACAGTTGTTTATGCTGAGGAGGAAGCTGACGGCAGAGAAATTGTCAATAATTTATTACCAGCAATCAGACAATCATCCAGAGAAAGGAGAGAGCTGATATTTAAATGTCTGTTAAGAACTTTAGTTCTTGGGTCGATGTAATAATAGCTGATTGTTATAAAAGCAAAAGCAAAAAGCAATATATTTACCAAGAATATAGATGTTTTACAATAAGCATGTTATAAAATACAAATAAAAAAAATATATGTATAGTCTATATTCTGGATGGTTCACTCTCATATAGCCTGGCTAAATCGAGGAGAGCGACCATGAGCAAAACAAAAACGAAAGCAAAACAAAACAAAAAAAAAAAAAAAACAAACAAGCTAGCTAATACATTCACATAAGGTTGCTATTATTTAACATTCATATTTATATCATATCTCTTATAACTTCTATTGCCATAAATCTTTTATCACCAATGATTCAATTATTGTTTTAATTTATCTTGATGTATCAGGTAGTATTTTAATTTAGTTTTGAGAGTATATTTTTTAATATTGCAAAAAGGGATTGTTTTTAATTTATTTTGAAGTTGATTCCAGTTCATTATTGCAGAGTATTTAAAGGATTGTTTACCATAGGATTTTGTATTATATGTTTGCACACTCAGTGCACCGCTACAAGAATTTCTTGTAAATCGGCTGCTAATTGCACTGCGTTGAGTAAACCATTCATCAAATATAGGAGGCAGTTTTTTATTAAGGCAGCTGTGAATAAATAAGCAATTTTCTATTTTAATTAAATCATGTACTTTTAAGATATGTAATGTGTTAAAAGATGTGGATGTATGTGAATTTTTTGGAAGAAATTCAATAATTCTGACTGCTTTTTTCTGCATGATAAATAGGCGATTAATAATACTCATATTTTGACTCCATGATAAAAGGCAATATGTGAGGTGAGAGTGAAATAAAGCATAGTAAATAGATTTTAAAGTTTTTTGTTGAATGAAATGTCTTAGCTTTGATAGAATGGCAAGGGATCTATTCAACTTATTAGAGATATCGTTATAATGATAAGCCCAGGTTAAGTTTTCGTCTAGCTTTATACCCAAGTAGTTTATACAACAAAGTTTTTTCCCATTTAATTCAACTTTGATCTGTTGGTCTAATTTTTTGTGGGGACTTTTAAATAATATTAAATCAGTTTTTTTGGAGTTGAGGGAAATTTTGTTTGCATTAAGCCAATTGCATAGTTTCTTAAGGTCATAGTTAACATATTTGTTGATTTTTTTTACAGATATAAAATTCTTGTCATAATATTATTAAAGTTAATTGTTGTAATTTATAGTCAAGTCATAAGCTATTTTTGTATATAATTATGCCCTTGAGAACTTTAGTTTCTGCATAAAAATTGTAAATAGAGTTTAATAAACTCTATTTACAATTTAAATTGTAAATAGAGTTTATTAAACTCTATTTACAATTTTTGTAAATAGAGTTTAATAAGTAAACAAAGTTGTCATATTAGTAGATACTTAATTCAAATGGAAACCGTCTGGATTGTGTAAAAAATGTGCTAAAAGTAATGGTTTCCATTTGCATAACAAAATATAACAGAAATTAAAAAAAAAAATTAAGAAAAATAGCCAATATATCTTTACAAAATAATAATTCCAAAGAGAAAAACTATTGAAATTTATTTAAGAACAAAAAACATATTTTTCTTGAGATAAATTAAAAATATAAACTTAAAAATAAAAAATACAAAAAATATTATATTCAACATAAAAAAGTATCAAATACACTTTTAAAAGCCAATTAAATTATTGTTTCATTATTATATAGCTTTTAGTAAATAATATGAAGATTATCGAAACTTTGTTTTGGCTTTTAGAAAACATTCAGAACATTTCTTAAAATCTGCTATATAGGAACTTTCACAATTCTGTCATAAGAGAAGGGATTCAACCTAAAAATGGAAGCTAAAAATGAAAAATTATTATTTAATACTTAATACACATAATGTATTTATTTGAAAGCTCAAAAATGTGACTGAACAGATAACAAATAAGAAACTTATTTTGTGAAGTTGTTTTTCTTTTGTGAAAGTTTCAAGATTTATTGTTGCAAGTTTAGATTAATCACTCTTGTTAAAAGGGTAAGTAATCCATAAAACAAAGACTCAACTGAAATTTTAAAATTAGTTCAAATTATTAAGGGTTATTGAGCTATCCAGAGTTTATTGTACATATTTTAACTACTAACAGCACACTCATAGACACACTTACAAAATATAAACCCATATAACTTTAAATAACACATAATGAAAACACACATTACCAAATAAAAATACTTATCAAAAACTATAAATTAAGAAAATTTACAAATACAACATATGCGTAGCATTCATTCAATGACATACTTTGTAATGCATGTTTATCAAATTTAAAAAACAAATTGTCAAATAACTTGGTTCTGGAACATGCTACATAAAATTGGTTGTGTGAAATAAAGCATTGTTAGTGTAGCATTTATTAAATATATACCTTGTAATTTTATTAAATACATACCTTGTAATGAATGTTCACCCATTTTAAAAAATAAGCAATTGAACAATCTTGTATTTGAACATTCCACATAGAGTTGACCGTGTGAAAAGCAAGGTTTTTGAGATAAATACCAACTTTATCTAAAGTTTGATTTTGTTCAAAAGTTTGACCATTGAAAAGAGCATCGTCTTCTTCGAGTTCTTAAA